ATATATATATATATATGTATTAATAGTTTAATTCAGTAGTTTGAAATAGAGAATGAGAGTGCAAGAGATGAGAAATATCGAATTTATAAATCCGTATTTATCTTTGAAACATACTTCAACAGGGGGGAGATAGAAGTTGGGGGAATTAATCGCACACTGATTGCAAAAATAAAACGTTATTCTACTACGTTAGTAAATAAATGAAAGACGTCGGTTTTAAGTTTAAATTAACGCGATCCGCTGGATATTGTAGGAGTATGATTACTTCTACGACTACGCCGACTTCACGTTGAAACCGATCCTCAAGCCCACTACCACCACCACCACCACCACCACTACCACCACTGAGACAGTTTCATCAGCTACAGAAGACGTTCAACAATCGAACTCTTTCTCGCAAGATTCAACTCAGTCTCCTCCAACCAGTGAGTCAACTACGAACTCTACCTTCGTACAAAGCATGGTGGATATTGAGAAAACGAACGAAACCGCCTCGAACGAAAATTCAGAAATTTCAGAAAGTACAAAAGCCAGGAGTCCGTTTGAGAATGAGCTGGAAAATCCAACGATGCGAAGCAACGGGGAATTATCCACGGAGGATCCGTCCGAAAGATTGTCTGGGAAACGATACAGATCAGAATCGCTGGATGAGAAGGGTCGCTGTCATCGTCTGAATCAACGAAGATTATCGCTAATTCCGTGAGTACCGAGAAAAAAGAAAGAGGAAACATTAAAATGCATATATGTAGCAAACCGGCAAGTTTAGAGTTAGCTAAACTAATGAGGATAGAAACTATGAAACTAAAATTGTAGATAAAGTAGATCCGTCAGTGTGAAACTAAAATTGTAGATAAAGTAGATCCGTCAGTGTGAAAAGTATAAAGAAGTAGAATCAAATCGAACAATCAAATAGTACATAGATCTGCATCTTTTCCGCTTCCTTCTTTTATTCTTTTATTCCCTTGTGTAGGTTGGTGATGAGATTGTCATCGAAACTTTTGGACGATCTAACGCACAGTACGAAGAGTTCGGTGCACGCAGAAGATGCCATCATGATGTCGTGAAACAGCGGAGAAATGCAAAACTTTGTTCCTCGTCGACTAACGAGTCACGTACGCTTGTATCGTCCACGTCGCTTCATCCTGCATTCCTATTCGTTCATTATACAGTCCACCAAGCCGTTCTGTATATAACACAAGATACAATTACGTGACAAAGTTGTGAAATTGTATAAATTTATATATTCTGACTGTTAAATAAAGTAATTTCTCAGATATTGCTATTCCTGAGAAAAAAGATTTATTACTTTCGTGATTGATCCTTTAGGAGACGAAGAAATTTCTCTGAGAGGGAAGAACGAAGATTTCACGAATCGAGAATAAGAAGACACGCGATCCTGGCGAGACGAACAAACTGTACGTTGTCTAGCTAAAAAATAAAAATATCATACAATTGCTGTTGTTATTCTCAAATATATATTCTATATATATCATTCGTTATTAAATATATATTCTATGTATGTCCATCGGCATAATATTATTATTTAATTTTCTCTTCAATAGCTAAAAGTAAATAAAAATTTAAGAATTATTGTCATAAAGTTCCCCGTTTGAAATTGAAATCACATTTTCTTCTTTCACTAAATTGATACTTCAAATGCAATTACTTTTTGGTAGCTAAAAATAAATAAAACTTTATGAATTATTATCATAAAATCCCCCTTTTGAACTGCAATTATGTTTTCTTCTTTCCTGGTTCATTGAATCAACACTTTAAACGTAATTATTTTTAATAATATTTATGGGAAAGAAAAGAATGCGTTGTTAAACGAATTCCAAAATGGCGTGCCTGAGAAACGCGCGATATTAATTAGCGCGCTAACCTCTCGCAAGAACCGTTCAATTTCGTTCCTCGTGCCTGTCGAAAGAAAGAAACAAAGCGGCGAGAGAAGCGAGTATTATACAAGAAACAGCCTGTTACGAATAGCACGGATGACAGTGGCGTCTTAATTATCTAAAAATCCACTGCCGCAGGCATACAAGGGGCGTTTCTTACCCTCTCCCGGCAGTGATATTCCCTCGATCCACGTAGAAGCTGTCAAAGGAAGCGGACGGATCTCTCGCAGTCGAGAATCGGACCTCGTTCAGCTCGGCCGATTCGTGCGATGGCTTCCGCAGAGAGCTTCAGCAAGATGCTGTTACATGCCGCGTGCTTCGTCCTGCTAGCAGGTAGACTCACCATGATTATACTATCTATTAAGTAAAGTTCTTCGTAAGATGAATCTCTTCTCACATCCTCAAATTCACGGTTCTCTCGTATTTATGCGTTTTAATGTTCTGTCATCGTCGTATATTTTCGCAGGCACTCTACCTGACGGATCGTCAATCTCGCGAGTAAACGCAGCCCCAGCGACCTACGATCAGCAACAAAACGGCGACTTGAACGTGGACGCGAAGTTCGAGAATTTTTTGGTAGTGGTCGCCACTTCCGGCAGCGGTGATCTGCTCGGCAATCTGGCGTCGCAGGTGTTCCGCCTGAACAGGCTGAGCTCACAGCAAGCTCGTAGCAAACAGCAGAGCGGGAAGAACTCGTCTGAAACGGTGGTTTATGAGACAGAGGATGCAGATGGCGGGAGAGAGCCTTACCACGTCGAGATCGTTCATATAGATAAGGAGGGAAACTTCACGGCTGCCCGAAGTAAACACTCCGACGAGTCGTACGGAGCTAAAAATAGAGAAAACACCGAGTTAAATGCGTCGTTGAAGGATTCCAAAAGTTTGGATTCCTTGCAAAGCGTCAGCGATTCAAAGGTATCTATCGATGATAGTAAAACGACGATAAAGAAGATTAGGAGTCTTTGGAATGCCGAGGAGCATCAGTTCGTTGACAGTCCGATAAAAGGAAATAAAAGATCAGCCAACATCAGGAATTCGCAAGTGGAAAACCTCCACCATTCGGAGGACCTGTCGGTTAAAGAGGAGGCATTGAGAGCAACGAGACCGGGCATATCGTTGAAAAAACAATTGTCGAAAAAAGAAGAGAAGGAGGAGGAGAATGAGGAAGAAGACGTACCTTTGATTTCCGAAAAGAGGAACGAATTGGGCAACACGCTGGTGGAACAGGAGCTGGTATTGCTGGGAGGTGGTATCGAGAACTGTGGGCCTGGAAGATTTAGGGATAAATTAGGCATCTGTCAAACCGACAAGAATTTTAATTAAAACACAGCTTAGTTCAGTAGGTGCACAAGTACCTATATACAGGTACATAGAATTTCACGCAGAAAAGTATGTAAGAAGAAATTGTATAAAAAGTTCGAGCACAAACTTTGTTTTTTCTCTCATAAACGTTTGTATCATGCATGTATTGTACTGTTTGCGTCACGAAGAAATAAATTACACGCATAAACGAACAAAGGTCCAAAGGTCTGCCAAATTTCTTCTCTGAAATAAAATTCTCCTTTTTGATCTTTGTCAAGTTTCAACTACAATTTCACGAAATTGTTTCTTTAGAATATTCTAAGAAGACTTAGAGTTTGTTTCTCAGTTTGTCCCAAATAGAGGGAAGTAAATCTCAGACGATTCAATTCTCTCGTGTTGCATCAAATTCTCTCGAATTCGGGTGGTCTTCGATTCCGATTTTCCGTAAACTTTCGCCGAGAAAAGCGACGTTCGAGACGAACCAGGAAGTCCGAGCGCGGCGGAAATGTAAGAGCAAGGGCAAGGTTACGGTAATAAGCGGCGGTTGAGACAGAGGAACGGGGAAATGAACTCGCTGGGGCCACACGAGGCCGTTGCTCTTTTCAAATCGGTCCCACGTGTGTGCATCTCTGTACGTGTGCACGTATGCACGTAGATAGCTGTTCGAGTGGTACACTGACGAAACATGCACGTTCAATGTATTTCACGCAAGGAGCGTGGATGACTTCGGGAGCAAACAAATGATTGTATCATCGATCTTTGTCCTAAGCGAAATTACGTAGATTAAGATCTAAAAAAAGAAAAAACTTAAAGTGGTTAAATGAAATCTGATTCATTAGAATTGTATTTTCAGCCATTATTCGATAAAGTCTCGAATATAAATGCTGACGTTCATTACCATCTCTGTCACGTTTACGACCTTTTCTTTGCGATGCGCCATGAAAACGTGATACGTACTAATTGGCCAATCGAAATTCAATTCATGCAAATGTACAGTTTGTAATTTTTAAAATCTATTACCACTGCTATTAATTAAGATCCACCTACCAAAATCGTCCGAAGTTATGTAACATGTTCATCTTAGTATGTGGACGCGCTGTTTACACTTAAGGCTGTATGTAAATAACCTTAAATTGAAATGAATCGAGATATCAACGTCGTATGAAAAAAAAAAGAGAAAAAAAAGAAATCAATTCTATCCGAGATTACGTTCTACCTGGGTACGCATGCAAGAACAGAACGTGCACAGTGGCCCGCCAGGTTCTTGAACTTGCTTGACGATCTGTTTCCATGCCAGGTGGGGACCGGGGTATCGCCGGTCGGCAGGAGACGTCGTCACACCTCGCTCATCCTCCGCGTCGTCAAGACGTTTCCATTGCTCACCGCTGCCATCACACCACGAACACACAATTCTCTCCTCACTCGTTCAGAAATTCACTCACGTTAGTCTTTCCCCACGCTCTCGAGATTCGCGCGAAAAGGACTCACCTCGTTCGAACATCCAAGTAATCTCGTTTTGTGGACCACTCGACAAACTCGGTTGCCAGACCGTCGCAAAAACATCTGTTTCAGGACAAACGCACGTATTCCGTACATCGTCGCGTCGATCGTTAGAAACGGACATCGATGCTATCGATCAACATGCGAATCTTCAAAACAGTGCTGCTGCTCGCCGTGTTCTGCTGCGACAGAATCGGCCAGTGTTCACCGATCGCGAACGAGACGTCGATCCCGATGGCTACATCGCCTCCCCACGACGCCACGGTAGATCATTACGATCAACGACAGAACGGAAGTGAGAATTTCCGCGTCCACGTGGACGGCGTGATGCTCGTCGTCGCGCCTGTGGAGGCGTTCCTCCTGACCGGCGTCGCTAACGGTAACAAACCTAACCTACCGATAATCGACTCTTCGAAGCTACCACCCGGTAAACCGGAAGTCGACCCCAAACCGTCACTGGCGCCCAAGTCAGCACACAGGTATTCTCGAGTTTTTAAATCTTGCTCGATACCACGGTACTTTGTTTTTTTCTTTTTTTTTTGTTGACTAATTACGGTTTTTTGTAACTGTCGATTTTCCTTATGCGATGACACTGTCACCGACAGAAGCGTAAAGTTACATTAACGCGTTATTTTGTAAGGTTATATCGAGACTGACAACAGCACGTTTTCTTTCAGGTTTTCTGGTTCACGTCTGGCGAATCTGCTGTTCTCGCTGTTGCACCATGTTCGCCAAGAATGAAGAGGTCGAACCTTCACGCGAACACTTTACGTGACATATTATCATTTCTTCTTTCTTTTTTTTTTCCTTTTTCTTTTTGACGATCATATATTGTCTCTTCACTTCACCAACTTCTATCTTTTCTTCATCAAGACAATCAACTGATATTAATTTTCATTAACTTCGACGCAATATTTATTTTTAATATATAACTCGCTTGTAACAAATTGTGGGCAGATTTTGTTTCCTTTTTTTTTGGAGAAAAAAGTAGAAAGTATCGCAAGTTGAATTGACGTCGCATAAGTTAGTGAAACGGTGCAAGGGTGTTGGACGATTCTTCGATTGCTTGCTGTAACTACCGCGAACAATTGTACGCCTAAGTAAATACACGATATACGATATTCTTATCGAAATGAAATTTATTTGATTAAAAATTAAAATACATTCTTTCACGAGTTCTTCTTTTTTTCTTTTTCTTTTTTTTTCTTTTTTTTGGTATATCATCACAATAGTTTGTATAAAAAATGCTTAGGACTATGATGTTCAGAATATATATTATCTGGGTGGAATCGTTTATTTCGTTAAAAAAAAAGAGAGAAGGGAAATAGAGGAGGGAGAGAGAGAGAGAGAAAAGAAAAAAGAATCGTTTTCACACGAATTTTACAGTAACCGTTAAAAAAAAAAGAACGAAGGGGGAAACCTATAATTGTAGAAAAATGGTCGGTGTCGTTTGAAACGCAATTAGAATAAAGCCATAAGTTACACGATGTGTTCACTTACATATACATATACATATACATATATATATATGTATATATACATATATATACATAATGCTTTTGAAACTTACACGACGAATAATTGTGACTTATGGAAGCGTGTACAAGAATATGTTTTTTTTTTTTTTTTTTTTTTTCAAATATATTTCACCATTAAAATAGAAAGCAGCTCTGTATGTAACGTGTATGTGTGTTCTCTCTGTTTTCGTTCTTCATTTCTTCGGGAATAACTTGCAATAATTATTCATATACATATA